CATAAGCAAGGCAAAGAAGGTTGATGCAATGCTACTTTAGCTCCTCATAAGCAAGGCAAAGAAGGTTGATGACGAACAACAAGAGTACTCCAAAGTACTTTTCAGACCCCTGGTAGTGCATCGACGTCCACATGTGCCATCCCGATTTGCGCCACCAGCGATTGAACCTCACAACCAGTGCCAATATCATTCCACAAACCGCCAGTCTCGCCATCAACAACAGCCTCATTGGTTTATCATCGAATGCCTTGGATGACCAATCCAGAGGCTTGGAGGAATATATAGTCATACCCAGCCTACACAGAGACACACAGGAAACGTACTGCAAAGCGCTTGTCAGCTTGACATTTGTGCGACCTGACGTCCCCCCAAACCAACCCCACTGGTTGACACCGTATCTTGCAGCAACGTAAACATAACCCATAAGTATGACAAGAAGGATCCCAGGAATGGCAAGATTGCTGCAATGCTTGATGAAGGGGGGCGTTGTTCGCCCCATTGCCGCCACGGCGGGCATTGAGGTTGTCGCGGTAGCATTCGTTGCGTTCATCCTGGTTGCCTCGGTTGTATTGATGGTGGAAGAGGTCGTGTTGGAAGAGTGGCCGCGCAGCTAGCTATCTATGACATACATGTAAACGTGTCGTGCATTGGTCTGAGCCACGACTGAGAAGGAGGTACTTTCCACTCTGCGCGCGGCAACAGCTGCGGCAACTGTAGCAAGCGTCGGTTCGGTTCGTTTTGCTCACAGTATGCACAAACGCGCCTTCGTGAGGGGATCGACGAGAGGGTGGTCTTGCAAAGGCTTCGTCGTCGCATTGTCTAGTTTCTTTGCTCCCTTATCTTGAACAAACCCCCCAGCAGCTGGACCATAGCATTTCTATTATCGACAAATTTGCTACCACACTCGCGCTTGCTATCCCATAATGAACCCAACGTTCGACCGCAAGCACGGCACCACCTCGGTTATGGTTACCAAGCCAACCAAACATGCCGTTTTGGGCGTTAGCTTCCACCGCCAAGCTGGACCAGTCGTTGCCGGTATCAGCGAAGATGGTCTACTGGTTGGGAGTGGGCTGGAAGCTGGAATGCAAGTGATACAGGTAAATGGAATGAACTGCTCGCATTCTGCCGAGTTTTGCACCATGCTCTTGCAGAACATTGTGGGGGATGTCACCATTGTAGCTCTTGGCAAGGGAGGTTCAATCAAGACCATGGATAATTCATCATCGACGGATACAAGATCCTCGTCAGAAGGCCTGTCCGAGCCTGATGAAGCACCCGAGGGTTGCCAAGCAGAAGAGGCACAAACCAACCAGATTCATGACAGCCGGCGCTCGGAAAGAAAGAGCCAAGGGCGGGCCACAGTCAGATTTGAAAACGTGAATACCGAACTGAATCAAAAGCCAGAAAGTACACCCAATACAGTGAAGTCTGAATCGACCCCCGAAGGAAAGGATGCAAGTACTCCCGTTGCTTCGAGGAGAGACGACGACAACCACATTGCCCATCGAGAGCCCTTTGTGGAACGACACAACAATAACCATAACAGCAGCAGCAGCAAGTGCAAGTCAACGTACGTCGGTGTACCCTCAAGGGTGGTAACAATAACAACAAAGAGCCCGGTAGGATTGTGTTGAGTTCCAAGGGATTTGCCTACTACGGCCCCAACGATAACAAGAAGGTCAAGAAGATGTGCTGGCAAAACTTGGAGAAGCAATGCATCAATGCAGCCCATCGTCCCCGAGCCCTCCTCAAGTTGCTTCACAAAAAGGGCACATCCTACCAGTTTGAAATGGCCAATCGAGACGATCTGCGCGACATTCGAAAGGATATTTACCACCACTTGTCGCAGCACCATCAAAGAAGGCAAGCTGCTCCACAAGGAGGCGCCTGCTTTGATGATTCTTTTACGAGTTACGGAACGTACAACTAGCTAGTCGTGTAGCTGGAATCGAATCCAATGGCAAGCTGGCAAAATGACAAGAAGCATCGCTTGTCAGCTATAGCTACTACCAGTACCGTAGTGGAAGCAAAGTATCAAAACTTGCGCTGCTACATGATAATGCACAAATACTAAGAATAGATTTGTGCAATGGTATCATACAAAGTGTCACTTGAGTAGGCCTTTGTGTTTTGGTGTTGGGTCCGCTAGAGCATCGGGTGCGTCCAGCATCACGGGGCCACGGCAATCATCCCATGTCCATCAATCAATCAATCAATGCAACGCATGTTGTACAACATCCGGCTGTCCGGTATGCGGATAGCAAGTATGTAGCATGAAGTAGATGGGATTTGTGGGTGTCGAATATTGAAATGGATCTTCTTCTCTTCTCGTTTTGCTGCGGGGCCACCATCCCTATCTTTGCGTTATGATGAGAGCAAACTCAAAAGAACATGTCTCTCCGTTCCGTAGCATGCATGTAGCCAAGTAGCTAGCTAAGAACCAATCCACCAGGCAAACGCCGTCAGTAGCAAGGACAAGACACCTCTTGTTGTGGTTATTGCTGTTGTGGCGGAAGAGCACAAGACGGTCCCTGTCGTCCATTCGGTGGGTTCGGAAAAGTTGTGTGTGGTGATATTCCAATGATTCCGATACTGCAAATGGCATTGGATTCCGTGGTGACGCGATCGCAGTTTCCGTAGGGTCCCACATTGATGACGCTGCGTTGCGGGCTTGAATGGTTCCGGTAATACTATTGTTGGTTTGATTTACGTTGGCATTGTCCGTCGTGACGAGTTCCACAATGGCCCAATCGTCGGCCGTGACATGACCCCGAATGTCTCCGTCAATGGTGGCAATGGCACTGGAGGAGATCTGTGTTTCGGCTCCCGGCAGAATGGTTCCCTGTAGGTAGAGCCGTGCGTGACTCTCTACGACATTGCGGTGTCCCATGACATTGCCCTGATAAATCATGACGGCGCCACCGCTGAGGTCCAATTCGGCGCCCACATTCGTCGATTTCAAGTACATGGTCGCGTCATTCTTGACCGTGACGTCCAATCGCAATCGTTGGTCTTCTTGCGACGAAGAGGAAGGTGTCAAGGACGAACAATCGGCCGTCAGTGTGGCCCGGGTGTCGGCTTGCAAATGCGACAGATTGGTAAACCCCGGCAGAATTTGGGCATGATAGCCCGTCCGAACGCGAACATATAAGAGCTGCTCCTCTGGCAGCGTCAAAATGACACCCGTGCCGTCTCCTTCTGCCACCTGATCGACGACATTTAGATTGTACTGCAAGTACAAGTGGACGCCATCGCTTGTATTGGCCGTCACCAGATTCGGTGGATAGCTTTCCACCGTGACATCGTGCTTGGTTGCCGTACTACTGGGTCGAATGGTAAAGAGTGTCTCGGGATAGACCATGTCGAACATGTCGTTGTGGCACGCATGGCCCGCACCGATGGTCACGGCTCGTACATTGCGAAACGAAGATCCATCGGTGTTCACACGGACAAACTCGGAAGGCGAGGTGGCCAATGTACAAGAAGAGAGCAGACTCACTACTACTACACAAACCACCCCAAATAGTACAAGATGGGAACTCATTGGTTGCCTCATTTAAATTATTTGTCTCCTTGCTTCTTCTGTTGCTTCAGTGTTGCTGCTTGCTTTCTTGCTTTCTTGCTTTCTTGCTTTCGTTCTGGGAAGCCGTTGATGAGATTTGTGCACGAACCTCAGCTCAACGTACTTCTCCAGATAGATGTTAATTTCTCAGCAAGTTCACCACTGTACATGAACATCGCGCTTGGAAGTACCGGTACGGCTACTTATGTCATACTTGCCGCTATTACTATCGAAATTACATTGTAATCAGGAGTGAACATTTTGCCGGGACATTATTAATAATCTTTAGAAAAAGGAAATGAAGGGAGAGGTTCAGGAACCGAATGGATCCAGCTTTGACTTATTACAGTATTAATTCTCATGCATCGTACCGGTACTCTTAATTCATAGTAGTCAAAGTTCTCTTCTGGTACCGGTATTCAGCGTGCTATTATAATATTAATAATAGAACGTGAATCTAACGAAATAACAACATGCCCCTTACACAAACGCGTCAGGAATTAGTGTTAAGCAAGGATCCTAAAGCACTTGTTGTACTACTTCGTGCTGGTACTGGTCGAAGTGAGCTGGAGTTGTGTAAGAACCGTTAAGAAACAAGGACAGAGAAGTGCACCTGGGATATAAAAGCATTCTGGAGCACTGTTCCTGTGTTCCTAACTTCATAGGTGTAAGACAGCAAGAGCTGGGAAGAAACCAAATTCAGCGAACCACGTCAAATTCTCTGAGTTTGATATGATGCACAACATGTTCAGGGTGTTCAGCACCGTTATAGAGCTCAAAACTCACCCCCGCCTTGCCTTTGTTTGTTTGGGATAGCTGAACGTTGCACGTGTGGTCAGCTGCTTGTTTGGCCCATCAGTCTGTCGGGCAACAACATTGGCTATCTGCATCCGCTCCGTACCATAACTAGCCAGCCAGCCACTAGCTAAAAGAGTCAAGAAGAGTAGAAGCGTAAGCACCTGCGTACAGCATGACAAAACCCGACACATGAATTATGCAAAACACTCCATTGTAAGTATTCCGTATTTTAAAATTAACTACACACATTATTTGAACCTTGGTTGCCCCTTTCCTGTGCCTCTCCTGTGGTTGACACTCGATCCCTACGTACAAGGCAGCATTGGCTCCTGACTAAAACTAGTACTCAGGTCAGAGTGGGGCCTAGCTAGACTAGGCGGCGCCAAATCGTTGCATGAAGGATGTCACCTGCTTACTGATAAATTGATACACTTCATACACACAACCTTCAACTTCAATGGGAGGATCCGTGGGCAGAGGCGTTGGACTGGGCGTGGGCACGGGGGTTGGTGGTGGAGTAGGAGCTCGAGTGGGTGCAGGAGTAGGGCTGGCGGTTGGATTTGGGGTTGGCCAAGGAGTCAACTGTGGTGATGTTGAGCATGTCAGCTGGCCGTTCAAAATGCCTGAATTGTGAGTGTTGGCCACAAAGATATACAAGTCCTCGGAGCGGGTCATGACGAATTCATCTTGAAACGGACAATTGCCACTTCTTCTTTCATCTCGGTTGGTATAGTCAGTTGGTAAAGCTCCTCCCTGGAAAGAGAGTGTAGTAGATAGAAGGCCACTGCTAGTGCAATCGAAAGAGCAAGTCACTGTTGTTCCCACTGGTATGGATTGATTGGAAAACCTGTACACCTGGACAGTCCCATCCTCATCCATGTCATCATATTTTGGCAGATATGGAATGCTGGCCAATTCACCGTCGGCAAGAACTCCATCCACCGTTAGATCCGAGGGCAGAACCTTGCATTTGATTTTGCCATTCACCAAACCACTATCCGTCAAACTAGTCACTGAGACATAAAGGGGAGACGTATTGACCATTGTGTAGTCGCCAGTGTAAAGGCAACTGCCACTCTGTCGTTCATGCGTGTCATCAAAGGTAGTCGGGAGGGATCCTTGCTTGAAAGTCATTGTGGAATCAAGCAGACCAGTAGCAACACAGTCTAAGGAACATCTAACTGTGGCGGCAGCGGGTACATCAGTCTCGGTGAATTTGTAGACTTGGACGGTCAAATCTTCATTGACAACACTGTATTTTGGTAGATCGGTAAAGTTTGTTGCCACATTATCAGCCAACGTTCCATCAGCTGACAAAGCTTCAGGGATTGCCTTGCACGTAACAACTCCATTCACCAGGCCGTTACTGTTGCGGTTGGCCAAATAGACGTAGAGTGGACCCGTGCGCTTCATGGTGTATGCACTGTGAAAGTCGCAGTTGCCATTGGAAGTCTTATCATCGTCGGCATAGATCCTTGGCAGATCTTCTTCACGAAAAGAGATTGAGGTAGAGAGAAAACCCATATTGGTACAATCCAAGGCACATCGGACCGTGGTGCCTGCTTCAATGTCCTCACTAGTGAACTTGTACACCTGAACAGTGATGTCTTCATCAATCTCATCATATGCGTCTAGATCGGCAAACCCAGTTGCCTCCCCATCGACCAACGTGCCATCCGTGGAAAGAGTGGCAGGGAGAACACCACATCGCATCATGCCACCCACCAGCCCAGCCCCGTTGAGATTCGCTGCAAACACATACACAGGTCCTGCCTTGTTTGTGGTGAAGCCTTTTGTTATGGGGCAGTTTCCAGTATGTCGAACATCCTTGTCGTCGTAGTTGGTTGGCAGTGTACCCTGATGATAGGAGAGCGTTGTTTGAAGAAAGCCCTTGTTGATGCAAGTCAAGGAGCACCTCACCAATGTGCTTGCAGGTATATCATTGGCTGTGATCTGGTAGACTTGCACAGACCCGTCCTCGTTCATTGGTCGATACTGTGGTAGATCCGAAAAGCTAGATTCAACACCCTGTTGAAGAATGCTATCCAATGACAGAGTCTCTGGAAGTGTCTTGCACAGGAGCCTTCCGTTGACAAGACCACCACTATTGTAGTTGGCCAGAAAGACATAGAGAGGTCCTGTTTGAGTCATGGTGTATCCACTGTGGATAGGACAATCACCAGTAGTCCTTGCATCTTTATCCGAATAGGCGTTTGGGAGAAACCCCTCGTGAAACGAAATGGCAGTGTCCCGCCAACCTTTTTTGGTGCAATAGAGCACGCACTTGACAGTTCGCCCCTGTGGAATGTCCGCGCTTGTATGTTTAAAGACGTAAACGGTTTCATCCTGCTCTGTTCCATCATACTGAGGCACATCCGGAAAGCTGGTTTCGACGTTGTCCATTAGAACCGCATCTTGCTCCAAAACCAGCCTTCGGTGGCGACGAAGCTGGTTATTACTACTTGTTTCCTCCTCGGCGGCGTTGCAAGCTCCGGTTCCTGCCAATACGAGGACAGTCATACCGACGAGGACGAAATCAATGAGGCGTGTCATCTTGAGTTCTTGGATTGTCAACGAGGGCTCCTCCTCGATCTGGTTAGCACTTAAATCAATCAATCCAGCAAATGGAATCTCTCAAGTCAGTGTTGTTGTTGGTTTTCTCATGCAATGCATGCAACGATTTCTATTATTTGATATTTTGATATATCCCCATTTTACTTGCGCAACGGCAGCTGCAGCAGGTATACCCAGGTTTGTCTTGGCTAAGTGCAAAGAGCTAGTCTCGTAGCAAGATCCATTGTCGTCCATGGAGGTGCTCCAAAGCTCATTCTTTTTCGGTTCCTTTGGTCGATGGACGAACAAAACTATTGTGAGCCACGGGAGTCGAGTCGATCCCTCTAACGGCTCTCGGCGACGGGGCGCCGTTGCAACCGAGAAACCGAGAAACTCACAATTTGGTCCTTTGCACGAGTTTTGCGAGCAATGCAAGCGAACCGAAGCAAGTGAAAACGTGAATGAACCGGTACCGTTGGAAGGAAACGAACGCTGGCAACCGGTAGTCTGGCCTGTAGCTATCTAGTTGACATAGAGGACGAAGCAACTTAACTTAATTCCCTATGCACCATGAGCAGCCTTGACCAAGATGAAGTAGCCAAAACATTTGAATTGCTCAAGATCCCCAGGAATCATGCCACAGCCGGCTTTTGCAACATGGTGGCTGGCTGCCACCAGGCAATAACGGTCACTGTTTGTGAATCCACGGTTGGGTGATGCAGGTTGGTCGGATGTCCAAATTCAAAGCTTCGTTTTCCTCTTGTCCACAAACAACAAGGCATGTACAAACAGCGATGGAAGCAGTGTGGAATCTCGATGGTGCGGAGTGGGAGAACGAGAAGGCGGCATGGAGTTAATCATGTCATCAACAATGCCTATTGACTCCAATGTCCACAGACCTAGTAGGTACGTGCTACCCAGCATCTATTGCCATCATATTTGCAGCTACTGGCTTGGAATACGGTACAGTTTGTCGTGTGCCCTGGTGCTATCA